TGGAACATCCCGTAGCACATGTACATACACAGAATGGATTAGCGGAATCCTTCATTAAACGAATTCAATTGATAGCTCGACCATTACTCATGAGGTCGAAGCTTCCTGTAGCCGCTTGGAGACACGCTGTTTTACATGCATCAGAGCTTATACGCATAAGGCCATCTAGTGAAAATAGATATTCACCATCCCAATTACTCATGGGTCATGAGCCAGACATATCCCATCTAAAGACTTTCGGGTGTGCCATATATGTACCGATTGCTCCACCACATAGAACAAAGATGGGACCTCAAAGGAGGATGGGAATATATGTTGGATTTGATTCTCCCACCATTATTAAGTATCTAGAGCCAACTACGGGTGATCTATTTAAGGCTAGATACGCTGATTGTCATTTTAATGAATCCGAGTTTCCTACTTTAGGTGGAGAGATGAACAAGCTGGGTAAAGCAATAAAAGAAATATAATGGAATCAAACATCCTTAAATTGGCAAGATCCTCGGACTCTGGCATGAGAATCAGAGGTCCATAAGATTATACATTTGAAAAGCTAGCTAATCAATTGCCAGATTCCTTTGCTGACCCAAAGAAAGTTACAAAAACGTACATACCAGCTTGTAATGCACCAGTACGTATTGATATCCAAAAGGGAATCAATGAAATTGCTACCGAGTCTAACACACGAAAGAAACGTGGTAGACCAATAGGTTCCAAAGATAAAAATCCTCGAAAATCAAAGAAAGGTGCAGTAGGAAACGAGGTTAGGAAACCATAGACATGGCCGCGGCAGACCCTAAGGAACCGAATAGAGAGATTTGGGACGCCAATCCTCATGGTCCTGAAGGGATAGATAATAATGAGATCTCAATAAATTATATCATGTCTGGAATAAAATGGAACCGCAAAGATGTCGACATCGATGAAATATTTGCATATAAGGTAGCACTTGAAATGAATGAGGATCATGAACCCACGTCTATATTAGAGTGCACTCAAAGATCAGATTGGCTAAAATGGAAAGAAGCCATAAACGTGGAGTTAAGTTCAGGGATAAAACCAGTAGGACACAAGTGGGTCTTTGTGAGAAAGAGAAATGAGAATAATAAAGCGTGAGATATAAGGCACGGCTTATAGCACAAGGATTCTCACAAAGACCGGGGATAGATTATGAAGAAACATACTTCCCTGTGGTGGATGCTAAGACATTTAAATTTTGCTAAGTCTGGCTATATAAAGAAAAAGACTTGATTTGCGGCTAATGGATGTAATGCCTGCATATTTATATAAGTCCACTGGATAATATATATGAGATTACCAGAGGGTATTGAGCTCAAAGATAAAGATAAAAAAGGGTCTCGAGACCAATACTGCATAAGGCTGAACAAATCGCTTTATGGACTGAAACAAAGTGGACGCATGTGGTACAATAGATTAAGCGAGTACCTAGTCAGAGAAGGTTATAAGAATGATCCCATCAGTCCATGTATCTTCATAAAGAAATTTGCAAACAAAGGGTTTGTGATAATAGCAGTATATGTGGATGATTTGAACATCCTTGGAACCTCTGGGGAAATCGCCCAAACAGTCGAATATCTAAAGAAAGAATTCGAGATGAAAGACCTAGGCAAGACAAAATTCTGTTTGGGATTGCAACTTGAGTACGTGAATAATGGAATCCTTGTGCATCAAAAGGCATATACTGAAAAAGTACTCAAGAGATTTAATATGGACCAGGCCCACCCATTGAGCAGCCCAATGGTGGTGAGAAGCCTCGGATTGGATAGTGATCCATTCGGTCCAAAGAAGGATGAGGAAGAAGTTCTCGGTCCTGAACTACCTCAGTGCCATAGGAGCGTTAATGTACTTGGCTAGCCACACTAGACCAGACATATGTTTTGCCGTGAACCTCCTTTGTCTAAATTTAGTTCATGATCAACCCAAAGGCACTAGAAAGGTTTGAAGGAAGGTTTGGTTAAATTTTAAATTCTATTCTTCATATGTTTGTTTATTTGGGTTTTATTCTATACTGATCTAACCAAAGAATGTCTAGTTTGCTTTGGTTTAGTTTGTTTTGCTGATGCAGGTAAAATCAGATTATGGCATGGTCAATAAATAGGAACTACGTGTGGCTTGATCCCTTCCAAGGGTACGTAGGCAGCCTTCTTCAAGGCGCAGCTACTACAACATCAAAGACCATCATATGAGGAGACAACACAGCCTGTATCGCTCAGCTCAAGGACGGCTACATCAAGGGAGATCGGACGAAGCACATTCTAACAAAGTTCTTCTTCACGCATGACTTGCAAAAGGATGGAGAAGTTCGAGTGGTACAAGTTCGATCCAGCGACAACTCAGTCGATCTCTTCACCAAGGCATTACCAACATCGACATTGAAGAAGCTCACGCATCAAATTGGAATGCGGAGACTTAAGGACTTACAGGGATGACCAAATCAGGGGGAGTAATACGTGTTGTACTCTTTTTTCTTAACCATGGTTTTGTCCCAATGGGTTTTCCTGGTAAGGTTTTAATGAGGCAGCATCCCCAAGCGTATTACTGAGATCCTTTGGCATCTACACGGTTATGTCATCCAAGGGGGAGTGTTATAAATCACATATTGGATGGACTCCATAACCGTGGGCCTAATCCATATCCTAGAAGGCCCATGTCCATGTTCTTGAAGATTCTCCTTATGACGGCCTATATTGTACTTAGTGGGCTTTTGGGCTTTAGGGTTTACTAGTCCCAATGGGGATTTGTCTCCCCTTATCATGTATATATATGTATCGAAACCTCATTCATTAATTAATAGAACAACAAGTTTTACAACAATAACAATTTATTTTGGGTTGCAAAAAAATGAAAAGTCTTGCCGAAAAAAAAAAAAAAAAAAATGAAAAGTCTGATTAGAAAAAAAAAAAAACTGAGAAAAAAAGAAAGAAGCCAAATTAGAAACCGCGCGATTGGAGGGAAAGCCATAGAAACTTAAAGATAACAACAACATTTAACCAAACCCAAAAATTCTCAAGGAGGAAGAAGAAGAAGAAGAAATGAGCGTTAATGGTGAGAACAAGGTCTCAGGAGGAGAGAGCTCATCTTCAGATCGACCTGTTAGAGTCTACGCTGATGGGATCTACGATTTGTTCCATTTCGGTCACGCTCGTGCCATCGAACAAGCCAAGAAATCGTCTGTACCAATTTCCTTTTGTTTCTTTTCTTCGATTTCGCCGGAATTGAGAAATTAGGGTTGTGAATTTGTGATTTGTGATTCAATTTTTGGAAAATTAGGTTTCCGAACACGTATCTGCTTGTTGGATGCTGCAATGATGAAATTACCAACAAATTCAAGGGGAAGACTGTGATGACGGAATCTGAACGATACGAATCTCTCCGACATTGCAAGTAATGTTTAATTGCTATTATAGTTTCTTTCGGTTTTTTTTGTTTGTTTGTATGGTCCCCTACCAAGCGTCACTCGAACCGACGACCTCTAGGCTTTGGATGAGAGTCTTTACTAATTAAGCTATTGACACTTGGTTGTAATGGTGTTATGTTAATAGGTGGGTTGATGAAGTGATTCCAGATGCTCCATGGGTTCTTACTACAGAGTTTCTTGATAAGCATAAGATAGATTACGTAGCTCACGATGCTCTTCCGTAAGATTCGGTTATTTCCATTAGAGAATTAGCAATTTGAAGCAGGTTAATGATCTGTGGTTTGTGTTTGTTTTAATAGCTATGCGGATGCGACTGGAGCTGGAAACGATGTTTACGAGTTTGTAAGTATCAATGTAGAGATGTTCTTCTTCCTTTGGTACTGACTTTGTTATCTCTTCTGATTCGTGAATGTTTGGAGTTGATTTTGTGAAGGTAAAGTCGATTGGGAAGTTTAAAGAAACTAAACGAACAGAGGGGATATCGACATCAGATATAATCATGAGAATAGTGAAGGATTATAACCAGTATGTGTTGCGTAATCTGGACCGAGGATATTCAAGAGAAGAACTCGGTGTTAGTTTCGTTAAGGTACGGTCTTCATTCTTTTCTCGTCGATAACCAATATCTGATTGATGTGATGATAATGGTGTATCCAACTAACATGTTATGGGCTTATTTACTATACAAACAGGAGAAGAGGCTTAGAGTGAACATGAGATTGAAGAAATTACAAGAGAAAGTGAAAGAACAACAAGAAAAGGTGTGAATCTATCATGTACATCCTTTGATGCACGGCTTGTATTAGTGTTTACACAGAACAAGTGCAGAAATGTTTAGCTAAGAATGGTGTTAGAATCGCTCATTGTGTAACTTCTGAATCCTGAATCTTTTTCCCTTTGGCAGATACAAACCGTAGCAAAAACCGCTGGGATGCACCATGATGAGTGGCTTGAAAACGCTGATCGTTGGGTGGCCGGATTTCTTGAAATGTTTGAGGAAGGTTGTCATAAAATGGTAAGCAGCATAAGAAAAAGGAATGATTCTCAACATTTGTGATTCCGAAACATGAAATATCTTAGTCGCTAATATCTGGTTGAGTGAGTTTTTTCTCAGGGAACAGCCATCAGAGATGGGATCCAGCAACGACTAATGAGGCAAGAATCAGAAGAGAACCGACGCTTGCTTCAAAATGGACTAACAATTTCCGAAAACAATGACGATGAACAAATCTCAGAAGGAGAGGAGACGCAACATGACCATGAAGATTGCTTAAATGTGAGCAACAAGGGGATTGAATCAGTAAAGAAATGAGAGATTTTGGCTCATGATTCAAGTATTTCCAGATACAGAACCAAAATCTACTAGATTCCACCTGTAATGGCATTAGGCTTGTTTATTCAACTGTATTGGCACCAGGCTTGTTTATTCAACTGTACATCAAACTCTGCTTCACAATCGCTAGTCGCTACTTGTTTCTAAGACTCAAATGCATCACAAGTTGATATCTATGATCAAACACTCCATATGATTACATAGAGACCATAAATCGAAACAGCTCAATTCAAGACCAATTTTTTTTTAATAAACAAATTGAATCAACTCATCAACGATATAGTAATGTTGAATACTTAAAAGGATAGAACAAACAAATCAAATTAAAATTAATGTGGATATAATCTTAGCATTTGAAGTCGAGTAGCTTAGCATCAGCCACTGAATCTCTCTTCTTTTTCGGTTTCTTGAAATGTTTTGAAGCTGCCTTTAACACACCATTCCATCCCTAAACAATAATAATCACATCTATTATAAAGATTAACAAAACTATATGATAAAAACAGAGAACATTATCCATGTAACATACCTTGGTATGAATAGGAAAGCAACCAATTTTAGGAGAATCATCATCATTCTTCATCGAAGTTATGTCTAATTTCAGTAATTTACTCTTCTTCTTGTTCTTCTTCTTCATTGACATCTTCATCTTCTTCTTCTTGCCTACTTGAAACTCTCCAAGCTTAAGATTCCGACAAACGCAACTGTCGGAGTCTAGATCTGAAGGACTAGCGTAATTTCGAGGCAAGAGAGGAGACCAAAGAGAGCTCTGTGTGTAGTCAAATCCGAAAGCAGAGTTATCTGGAAATTTGCAGAGAAGCTCTCGACACATTACTGGCTGCAAATACTCAACTACTTTGGTTGTAATAAGAGGATAATTCTCCTTTTCTTCTTCTTCTTCTTCTTCTTGTAGATATCTTTGATTCACCATTTTTGTTTCAGATATTTTTTTTTTTTGTTGTTGCATTTTCTGAGTTTTGTGTTCTGTCTTTTTATATTTTGGGTCAAAGGATGATGAAGAAGAAAGACGACCGTTGGGGTCGGATGTGGGACACGTGTCAGGTAATAATTGGATTAAATTGTGAGTTTATGCCGAAAAGTTACCGTTGCAAGACTTAGATTGCGATCGGCGCTGGATAACATTGTACAGTGCCGCACGGCCGAATCTTAAGATTTTAATATTTATTCAAGTCTTACCGTTACAGTATTCAGATTCAATCCAAATGGACTAAGGAAGCAATTTTCGGATACTAAGGAGTAATTATAATTAATTGATGAAGTTTTTGCAAAAATGCCCTTTTTCAATGCCATTTTTCAAAAATACTCCTTTTTTAAAACCTTATAAACAATGTTCTTAAAAATATAAGATTTACCCAAATATGTATATAACATTATTAAAACATACACAAACTACATTTCTATGTATCTAAAATCTTATAAATACTTTATAAATGCATTTTAAATACTTTTAAAAACCTTTAAAATATCTTGTAAAACCTTTGAAAAACCTTAAAAATCCTTTAAAATAACTTGTAAAACCTTTAAAAACAACTTATAAAACCTTATAAATACTTGGATCGAGTCTTCAAGTAGTAGTTACAATCCATAAGTACCTTATAAACCTAATAAAACTTTATAAAAATTTCAAATTTAAAAAGGGGCATTTTTAAAAATAGACATCTAAAAGGGGCATTTTTGAAAAGGAGCACACCAAAAGGGGCATTTTTAACAATTTCCCTTAATTGATTTGAGATTTGAAACATTTTAAGTTTTTCTTTTTTCTCCATAATTTTACAAACTACTTCCTCCATTTCACAATAAATGTTATTATAGGTTTATATATATATACTAGATTTTAACCCGCGGTACACCGCGGGATGATTTATTTTTAAAGTTAATATAAAAATATTTTGTAAATTGTATCTCCTTATAAAATATTTATTTATATTATATAGTTTATAATTGTTATTAAGTAACGGTATACCACGAGTCCACGAGACAATTGTTAATAAACTGAGGATTTAACCCGTATTAAAGCGGCATGTTAATGATATTTATAAATATTGATTCAAATTCGTCCGCCATATAAATCCTTTCCGAAATATAACCCGTTCCGTAATTTCTTAACCCGTCCCGTGATTTATTTTCATTTTAAAATTTAATGATTATTTATTATATATAAAAGTTTACAAATCATATTATTCTCTAAGTCATTTATATTTTAATAAACTGAAGATTTAATCTGTATTAAAGCGGCATGTTAATGAAATTTTAAAATTTTATAAATATTGATTCAAACTCGTCCACCATATAACTTCGTTCCGAAATATAACCCGTCATGTAACTTCTTAACTCGTCCCGTGATTTGTTTTTTAAAAGTAGTAATTTTTAAAATTTAACGATTATTTATTATATATAAAAGTTTGCAAATTGTATCATTTTCTAAGATATTTATATTTTATAGTTTACAATTTTTATTAAGTAATATTATACCACGGGACAATTTTTGGTTTTATACAATCTTTTCTAAATGAGATTCATTTAATATGTCTAATATTGGTGGTATTAAAAAAAAATATGAATTTAATCCGTATTGAAGCGGCGGATTAATAATATTTTAATCTTTTTACTATTGTTGATTCAAAAACCCGTCCCGCAAAACTCGTCCGGCCATTATGATATGAATCTGAATCATTGTCTAAATATTTTAATCGATGTAAAACATTGAACACACATTTTCGTCAATTGGATAATATATGTCCGTTTTTAAAATTTCGAATCACAGTATATGCAGAAAAAAAAATTGATTTTGTTTTTACTTTATGTATTATATGATGATTCAAAACAGTTAAAAAAAATTAAACAAAGATGATAGGAAAATCATAATTCAAAATCTTAATCAAATTTTCTAAATATTTAAATTATTAAATATGGAATATTCGGTGTATGAGTTGGGTTAAATATAATCCGATCCAATAAACTTTTTATGACCAAAATTTGTAAATGGGTCGGGTATCTAAAGTATCCGAACAATTTTACCCACCCGACTCAAAAGTGACTGCAAAAATACTAGTATAGATATATATATATATATATATATATATATCTATATTAAATATCGTTTTAGAGACTTAACAAAAAATTATTTAAGTATTTAAGTTTCCAAATAAAAATATATCTAATAAAATTAAATTTTAATAAGCAGTCAGTATTTTTATGAAAAGAAAATTCCCTTAAATACCACAAAACAAGTTTTCAATTTAAAACATATTAATAGAAAATTCAAAAGATTTCAAAATTATCACAAACTTGAAGTTTTGAAAGGGTTCCTAGAAATTTAGGAAATGGTACTAAATGATAATATTAATAAAATTTTAGAAATCTTTTTATAAACACTTTTGTGGTGTTGTTGAAAAATGAAAATTATTGGATTTTGGTGGTAACTAAAACAATAAATATGGTTGAAGGAAAAAAAAAAAGCAATAAATATTGTATTATGAAAATTTACCTTTTATTAAAAATACGAAAATATTTAATTGTTTATATTTTGTATGAAAAATGTCCAAAAAATATTTATAACAAAACGAAATAATATTCTTGTGTCTTGTCAATAACATCTATCATACAGTTTTAAACCAATAATGAAAAGATAATTGGCTAGGAGACAATGGATCTGGGTCTAATTAGTTTTTCAACATTTCGTTTCTAAGCGCATAACAAAAAAAGCATTAGCGCACCTTTAGTCCTAAACTAACCCCACGCGCATGACGATTTGAACGATCGGTGGCCCATATACGTAAGACAGACCAATGGAAATTATGGAATTTTGTATTCTTCAAGATGGAAAAGCGTATTAATGGTTTCGTTTTAGTTTCTGACTGTTGTGTGTCTATTTCTCTAGCGTGGTCATCATCCCGCATTTCACTGTGTAAATTCTAAGTCATATCACCTGTATCTCTCTTTCAAATCTGTTCGAATTCAGCTAAACAGACTTGTTATACAGTTTCCTATTTATGAATTCCGATATATCAGAAATTTGTTTATGAAAATTCCGATATATCAGAAATTAAAATTAGTGAATCATTTACAGTTATGTGATAGTAAATTCCAATATATTTTTTCTTTTTGAAACGTCTTGGATATATACTTCCACTCCATTCTCACTTCCGAGGGTGTCTTGAACCACAAGGTTCAGCACTTACACCTAAAGAAGAGAGTTCCTTTCAAAATATGTAATTTTATGTGAATAACGAAAGTTTCTAGCATTTTCGTGGAAAATGTCGAACCATATTATAGTCACAATTCCGTGTATAAATGTCTTATCGAAGCATTTGCAAAGCACGGGAATTAATGAGAAAAGTCTTGATCAAAGAAATAGAAAGATCAATCTCGTTTACGTATTTGATAAAAGGAAATTACTTAGTTTTTTCCTTGTTTAGTTTCTTAGAAAAATTCTACAATTATATTAAGAACTAATGTATATATATGAAGCCCACGGGAACAAGTACTATATTCATCGGAGCAATAAAACAAACTTTTAGAATTCACTACAAACTTTCTTATTCTGAAACCAATTCACGTTTCTTAAGATCCTATCTAGAGAGATGGGACTTGAGAAAAAACAAAACCTCTCCTTCGTACTCATCTTTCTACTAGTCGGCTTCTTTGCAGTCTCTTACGCTTCCGTTCCTCGGAAACTAAATCCACATCAACGCTTCAATGTCTTGAAGCCCTTTGGAAAATTCTTATCCAAGCTTTCACCGAAAGTCTCCACCTTCAAGCCTTCACCCGAAGGCTGGAACCCACCGTTTGATACTCCAAAACCAGTCCAAGTCAAGCGACCACGACCACCAACTCGAGAGTTCGATCTTCCACCTAACGTAACCCCGTCTCCTCCAGGCTTCTACGAGCCTTGGCCTCCGCTGGGTGCTCCAGAGCCGAGTCAGTTTTAAGTCCACACCTATAGTTGCAACAGTCCGCTAAACTTTGTCGTAGTCAAAGGCTTCTTGTTCACAAGGCTTTCTTAGATCGATCTCTTTGTGTGTACAATAAAATAAAATGATTTATGTTTTAGATCTCGAGATCTAATTAATATATGTAATAATAATAATAATCCGAATAAATGTCTTTCATATGAATAGTTGTAATTTTTAATCGTAATTTTTTTTTAATTTTTTCAAAAACTAATAAATATATTTTACGGTTTTTTTTTTTTTAATAGTTTGTAATCCGAATAAGTGTCTTCTACGGATGCATATTTTTATTGTAACTCTTCATAAACGGGTACAACCGTTTAGTTGAATTATTGCAACATTTAGTTTATTTTACGAACAAATACAACTTTTAGTTTAATTTACAAATTGTTATAACATTTAATTATCTACAGTCGTGTCTCTTGATGTAACTTTTTATAAATAAATATATTTAATTTTAATTACTAAAATGTACTTAAATGAAATTGTAACTATTTAATCGAATTGTTACAACATGTGGTTTATTTGACGAATCTTTTGGTTTTGTTTTATGAATCTTTGCAATCTTTAATTTATTTGACAAACGGTTGCAAACATTTGGTATATTTGACGAACCATTATAATTTTTGGTATATTTGATAACTATGATTGTGTCTCTCGGTTACTGTTCTTCATAGTTTTTTAAAATAAATTAATTACTAAAATATATTTTACTGAATTAGTGCCACCGTTTAATTCAACATAGCACCATTTTGTTATAATTTGACGAACCAATAAATATTTTTGCTTATTTGACGAATCCTTGTAACTTTTTGTTTATTTGATGGATCATTGAAATATTTGGTATATTTGATGAATCGTTACAACTTTTAGTTTGTCTGATGAAGTATTACAACTATGGTATATTATTCGACGAATAGTTGCAACATTTTCCCTTTATAAACAATTTTTGTGAACATTAGTTAAAGTTTTTTTTTTTTTTGATAAATCCCATCAGCTGATCTGGTTAGCCCCGGTAGAACACATTGAAATGCTTCAGAGTGGACTTCTCCCCGAAGGATCACCGTACTGTCTGTCCCGATTATGGAATGCTTTCTGACTAATGCCAAGGGATAGCCATATCGACTGTTACTCGACTACCATATATAATGCTTGTGTCTTTGCCACAAACCTAGACTTCCCACACATCTTTGAAGATATA